CAAGAGACTGTCCTTCCGGCACCACGTCGACACAAGAGTAGCTGCGGCAAAGAAGGCAGCTCAACACCTGAGGCAGCTTACAAACACAAAGAGAGGACTGCCAGCGGCCGCCGTGCGAAAAGCCGTCGTCTCCTACGTACTGCCGATCGCGCTCTTCGGCGCCGAAACATGGTACGCAGGTATCACGAAGCCGGCTTCGAGACGCCAAGCGGAGACAGACACGAGTCCGCCTTTCCAAGGAAGACCCGTCAACACAGGCCAGAAGGGGCTCGTGCAGAAGATCGACAGCGTCATTACAGCGGCAGCAAGGATCGTTCTACCTGTCTGGAGGACAACGCCAACCAGTAGCCTCCTCCGAGACGCCGGCTTACCGTCAGCCAAAGTCGCCTTAGAAGGCGTCCGTTTACGGGCCGCAGTCCGACTACAGAGGATTGATCGCCGACACCCGCTAGTCGCGCGGCTCTCCCAGCAGGGACAGCAACAGACGAGACTACAACGGACGGCTGAACTTCTGCCAAGATGCGGAAGACCAACGTTCCTCCAATCACAGTACCTGCCAAGCTCACAGGATCAGATAGTAGTTCAATGCAAAGAAGAGGCTGCGAAAGCTTTCGAGCGCTGGCTAAAGACAGTACCGGAAAGCCATATGATCGTCTTCTCGGACGGCTCCAGGGCGACGAACGGAGCCGTGGGGTACGGCTTCGTCATCTACCGAGACTCCAAACGCATAGCGCAAGGGTGCGGCCGACTCGGACTAGCAGAAGTGTTCGACGCCGAGGTCGAAGGGGCGCGAACCGGCCTCAGAAGGGCTCTGCTCACCAATCGCGGTCATCCAATCCACATATGTATCGACAACACCAGCGTTATACAAGGCATCCGCGGCAAGGCGCCGGACTCGTCACAAGACGCGTTCCTCGAAATCCAAGAAGCGGCCAGGATATTTGATATACGGACGCACTGGTCCCCGGGACACCAGGGCATCGAAGGAAACGAGGCCGCGGACCGGCTGGCCAAAGAAGGAACGACACTGCCGGCGCGGATGGGTCAAATGGCAACACTAGCGGGCATCAAGCGGCTTGCAAGGGAAAAATTACAAAGCCAGCACAGGAGATGGTGGTATAAAGAGCGAAGGCCGCGGTACGCGGACTTGGGGCTTGAGGCAGCTCTGTCCAGCCCTCCTGAACTGGCCTTGCCGCGGGCTACGTTACATCACCTGCTGGCGGCACGATCGGGTCACGGGGACTTCGAGCAATATCACCGACGTTTCAACCACGACGACGCTCTAATGATGTGCTCTTGTGGAGAGGCGAAAGACGTGGACCACCTGGTCTACTGTCGACTAACGCTGGCGAGGAGGCAACGGTGGCCGACCCTCCACTCTCGCAGTATGCCCGAGCCCATAGGTCCTATGGGATCTCTCGAGGCCTACTTCAAGAGATTAATCACCGACCCACGAGGCTTCGAGGCCTTTCTCCGCGTGACGGACTTCTTCCAGAAGATCTGTCTGCGGTAGCAGCATCCACACCTAGGTAGATGTGAGTGCGGACTACAAAGAACCTCCCGATTCCAAGGGACGATTTGGGAAAGAATGAAACTGGGGCACCAGCGGGAACCGGGGACAGACAGAACGCGTAGTGGCCACAAGGCATGATTTGGAGGACGATGTAAAGAGACGACGTACTGTAGAGTAGGTAGCCTTGGCTCACGGCCCTCCACGCCATATACCCTTCGGGAGGTCTGCGGTAAGGGCTCTAGCCCGGCCGCCACGGCGTTAAATACAACAACAACAACAACAACAACCCAGCCACACTCTTCACTCCGGCGTGTCTGAGCCAACCTGGGTGCTTTTTGACTTCCGACCCATTGAGCGAACGCCGCGTGCAACGTACCTTGAACGGTCCCTCGATAAGTAACTACCTACGGCTGTAAGCTCTGTAAGTGAAAGCATGATTATCGTTGTTTAACCACGTTTCGTGCATTAAACACCTCTTTACATAATGTTGCCAAACGCATCAAGGCATTCTCGGCGTGCGGGAGAAATGGAAAAATATCGCAGAGAAAGAAAAGCCATGTTTTGGGTCCTTCGTGCTCCCTTACGTTGGAGCGAATCAGCCTTCTCAACCAAAAATTCCATGGCTCAGCCCGCATCTATCTACCGGTACTTACCAAACCGGAATCTGACTAGCACCGGACTCCAGCTCAGGGTAGCCAGCGCCTTTTCGGACTACCACACATGGTCATTGGCTCCAACCTTCGACCATTAAATGCTGTTGATGCAGACTGCAAGCGGTCAAGCGGCCTCCCTGGCCCTCGATGAGGCTGGTACAGTAGTGCGCCTGGAAGACAACGAACCACTCGCGGAGCTGAGCTACTACAGCTGTGTTTGGTTGTCTCAAAGCCACCACAACAAGATGGTGGCTTTGCTTTGGCGTGTGTGACCCATGGACGAAGGACTTTCTTCAGCTTGCCCAAGGGCGGGTTCATGGCTCGGTGAACTCTATTTCCCTCGTCAGGCCTCTTCTGAATTTGTCGAAAGCTGCATGTGGACAATCTGTGACGTCTCGTTCTGGTCTGAATCTGAATATCACCCAGCGGGAAACAACATTTCGAATCCGCAGGTGTTCAACGATTAAGCATGCCGTGATACAGGCGAGTAGCCAACATGCATCACCCCCCATCAGCGATACAGCCGGCCTCCGAATCGCAAGCGCGGTATAATCTGCAAGCTACCGAGGACATTGACGAGTACCATAATGAGCTGGACGAAAAGAAACACTCGTCCCCAATACCGACGCGACCAGACTATCGACCCAAACCATTGCAATGGCCTTTCATCGTATGCATGGTTCTCGTCCTCTCCGTCTTTGTGGGGTTGGTGATCTATGCCCGCAATACGATGCCAAACTCAGACAGCACCGCAATCATTGAGCCGCGCCAATACTTAGGTTCACGGCAGGAGCCAAGCTCTATCAATGAGAAGTCGTCAAGCCCAAGTCTTACAGCGCAGGCCTCATCATCTTCAGAATCTGGTCTGTCTTCTGAGAGGCAGCAGTCGACGATAGGCCAAATTAGTAATGCCGATCTCCCGACGACCTCTGGACCTGGGCGATCTCCTGCTTCGGAGTCAACTACAGCGGCTACTGTGACCATATCATCGTCGGGAAGAGCTTCCAGTGCGGCTTCCGGAATATCAACGCAGCAAGACCAATCTTCTACTGTTCGACAAGAGAAGCCACAAGTCGCAACTACCCCCTTGACATCAGCAAGTGAGGCCCAGAGTCGGACCGCCTCCAGACCGCCCTCATCTGCGTCACCTGACCACCTTTCTACCGCGACAACTCCTGCTACACTTAATTCAAATCCAGTGGCAACACCATCATCATCATCAAGCACCTCGAGATCTAATGGCATTCAGAGCGAAGGAAGTGACTCTACTCATTCACCTCCGTCAACAACAACGAAACTATTAAGTTCAGACAAGATCAAAGGCACAACGGATTCGACAAAAAACAGCAAGGAAGCCAGCTCCATTTCCTCTTCCGACGGTTCGAACCAGCGGAAAGCTCCTGCCACTAGTGTCTTATCATCTTCCAGCTCATCATCTCCGGAGCCCATCGGAAACGATAAGGTGCTATCCATCATCAAGTCTGAGTTCACTTCCACATTCACGAGACCTGGATCCACTTTCCAGTACACAACATCTATCGTGAGCAGTGCTTTTTCGACCTTTACGACGGCTCTTGAGACAACCATTCCCGGAAGTACTGGCGAGACTACGTATACACGAGTCATCACAACCGCAACGCAAAAGTCAATCACGAGAACCTTAGCGAGTAGCAACGTGGTTATTACTACGACGATACCTGAGCAAACCACCCGAACAGATGTTATCAGCGACAACGAAACGACCTACTACCAGACGACAACCAAGACTGTGGGTCGTGTGACAACTTCAACCTCCGCTGTACCGGCCTCGACTGTCGTCGAAGTCACCAGTGAAGTTGGAGAGGCGACCATAACCTCAACGGCCCAGTTTACATCGCCGGCAAGGGTCAGCACCTACAGCTCAATTGTTGTTTCCGCCGTACCGACGACCATTGCGAGCGTCGCTACCTCGACTGCGGCGGGGGTGGTATACGTATCCGTAGGGACAACCGAAATCACCAGAGTTGTTACCATCCCCGGAGGGTCACGAGACCAGCAGAGTGAACAGCCTAACCCAGTCACACAACTCATCACCAGTGTGTTCGACGGGAAGGTTGTGACAGTCGTGAAAACGGGGAAACCTCAGGTTTTCGTGACCAATGCTGGAGGTCTTTTCACCGCCGTTTATACACCACCTGCAGAGACGATAGTGACGAGGATAGGCGGCAAAGAGACGCAAATGGTAGTCACTGTCACTCCGTCTCTAGATGTAGGCCTAGCTGCTGTCCGGACCACCATTGCTGGAAAGCCTACGGTGGTGCTGGTTCAGTCTGCAAACGCTGTAGGCTTCAAGCCGGTGTCTCTGACACTTGTCTCCCAAGTCCGCGGCAGTACTGGCGTCTTCACAACCACCGACGCTCCATACACTATCAGGACAACCATCGATGGCAAGGAGACTTTGATAACAAGAACCCCGGCCCAGAGAGAGTTTACCTCAGTAATCGAAGGAACGCCAACCACAATCGCGTTGGTCACAACTCCTAGTGAAAGCATGCCTCTGTTGTTCACGGTGATCACGACAATTGGAGGCTCTCTGAGCACGATCATATCAACACCCGAGCCTACCACATTCATCACTTCGATATCAGGCAAGCTCAGTACGATCACATCTACTCCGAAGCCTAGTACACGAATATCAACTATTGGCCCCTCCACGGCGGTATTCACATCTGTTTCCCTGCCAGCGTCGACGAGCAAACCCGATACCGTCATCACCGAAGTCGAGAAGTTCACCTTCACCGATGGCGATTACTTCCTCGGCAAGTTTCTTCCGGTGATTCTGGCAGTCATGATTGCAATTCCTCTCCGAATCATCGATCTGAACGCGAAGTTATACCAGCCTTTCCACGCATTATCCCAAGAAGGGGGTGCGCTTGGTAAAAATAGCATGACGATCCAATTCGAAGGCTGGAACGGCTTCTTGGCTCCTTTCAAGGTTCTTAGGCAAGGCCATCCAGTCCCTTTCATCACGACATTGATTGTATGGTCATCGTCTCTCCTGGCACCCTTGGCAACTGAGGCGATTGGGATGAAATTACACGGCAAATGCAAAATCACTGCCATCGATGGCTGCGGCATTCAACTCGGCGTCTCCCCAAAATCAGCCTACATCTTGATAGCGTTGCTCATTCTTATCGTCGCTCTCTTGCTGGTTCTTCTCTATCTTCTCCGCAGCTGGAAGACCGGACTTCACGCGAATCCTTGGAGCATCGGGGGTATATCGTCACTTTCCCTGAATGCAGAAATTCGGCCACATCACGTAAACTTCAAAGCTACCGAAAGAACGATGGCAGATAAGAACTACATGCTGGGCTTCTTCGAAAATAGGCACGGTCGAGATGAATACGGCATCATCTACTATGACGAATCGGCCGACAACTTGCAATCGGCAGGATCAGGAGCGCTATCGGTCAATGACGATTCAGATATCATCAAACATCCGCACAACACTGCGACCAATGCCAGGACAACAAACCCTTTCATCGCGCTTACGTACTGGTGGCGCATTGTGTTCATCTCTTTCCTTCTTGCCTTGTTCATCATCATACTTTATTATCATGTTACACTTGGTCTTCGTACTTCCTTCAAAGACTTCATGGACAGCCAAACATTTGGGCTCCGTTTCTTTCTTGCTGCACTGGGCGTGATTATCATTTTTTGCTGGGAATCTATTTTCATCAGTAAGTACTTGTAACCTCGAAGGCAAATTCGGCCTAGATTGAGGAGCTCGACTAACACAAAGCCCAGGTGTCGCTATTGTCAGTCCGTACTATCACATGCGCCGACGTTCGCAACGACCAGAATCTTCTATCCTTTTGACACGCCCTACGAACGGATTCTACGGCATCTACGCCGCGATTATCAACGGCGACATAGTGCTGATGCTGGCAGCTTTCATGTCCATAATAGCTGAATTCCTTCCGATGCTTTTGGCCAATGTGCCGTACAACCTAACTCAGACACTCAACTCGCACAATGTCTGCTCTATTATTAGTTTGACGATCTTAGTGCTGATGATCGTGGCTGTGGGGGCAAGTCTATTCATCAAATGGCCCGAAATGCCAGTCGACCCGCGGAGCATTGCTGGGGCGATGTATTACGTCAACGAAAGCCGAATGCTGGATGACTTTGGAGGTCTTTCACATCTATCTTCGTTGGAAAGAAAGAAGAAAGTTGGGGAGCTGGGACGCAGATACTTTTACGGCGCTCTGACTGGAAGACCTGGAAGGCGAATGGGCGTTGAGTCGGTGGAGAGTGTCGAAGACACTGTGTATACCGGGGCGAATTGGCTTCCATCGCACGATGATAGCGGTGAATGCAGGCAAGAGGCTTCCCCATATCGCGCTCGAGTTGCGATCAGTCCCGAAGGGGATCCTGCCCCAAAACAGGATACCTGTCACGAAGAAAGGGGTTGGGTGTGACAATGCTTGCCCCAAGAAGAGATTTTAGAACCTTAGTTCATCATAACTAATCAATCTGCAAATTTTCAATAGCCAAGCTTCGACTTGGCACAACTTCATCGCTATCATTCATCGCATTTCTTTCTGCTCTAGCAGTGGATCGTCGGACTGCCGCCAGCAAGTCCGCCGAGCAGGAATGTTCCAAGCCAAACACCACTGAGCACAGAGAGAAAGTAGCCAACATTCATCGTCATGACCGCAAGCATCCTGGGAAAATTGTTAGCCAGATTTAAAGCATGTAAGTTCGAAGGTGTGGCTCACAAGAGATATCCAATTCCTCCCACGATGACTTCATAAGTTGCCCTTGCAGCAGCAGCACCAGCCCGCCACCCTTTCCATCGTCCCACAATATCTCTGCGGATGACCGAGCCGGCCTGCCCAGGCTCAATACTCTCTGCATGGTGACTCGCTAAGGCTTGCTTGTCCGATTCGTAAGCTGGGTAGTTTCTCCAGAATCGGTCTTCGAGTACTGGTTTCAGAGCAAGTAGGAGGCGTAAGATTGAGCCCAGCACGATGAGAAAGATGCAGGTTCCCGCGTATTGTCCGGGACTTGTCGGTGTCCATGCGTCCGAGTAGAGAGGTGTTTGGAAGGCTTCGAAGAATGTCATGGCCATTTCAGACATTGACATTGACATGCTCGACATGTCGCCGGAGGCAGCACTAGTCGATGTTGCCATCGCCATGGCTGTGCTTGTTGCCATGTTCATATCCATGTCGGTTGGCTTTGGAGCAATTTTCGATTCGGAGGATGCTCTCGAGTGATGTAGAGTCTGAATCCTCTATAGGAGGAAGCCGTTTATCGATACAGTCGGTTGGTTTAGGTATAGATTCGCAGAGTCGAGGCGATCGGGTGCATAGCAGTGCTTCGTCGTTGATAGACGAAACTCATGGCATCGTTAATGTTGATGGCGGCATGATATGATTTATCAAAGAAGACACTTTCTCTCATCCACAAGATTCCGGTGATACCGTGAAGAGGAAGATCGGCACGAGCATTACTATGAGCAAGTTTCTCCCTCCATCCCGGGTGGCACGGCATCTGACGTCCGTGTCGTCGGAAACAATGTGGGAAAAGAGGGTCCCGAAACGCGCAAATTGACTCCATTCTCCACGTGTAAATCTGCCAAAACACAAAGCTTAGCCAATTGCAAACCCTAGATCGAGTTGCCGTCGCATCTGTTGGTTGTCTAGTGTGACATTAGAACCGCAATGTGGCATGGGTGGTGCTTATATTCCGGATGGGGAGACTTAACGAGCTCAAATGTGCTCAAAACCCTAGTAGTTGCAGCGCAGGATTCCCGACTTCACGAATGGAAATAACGCGCTCAAGCGTACGTGGCAACCAGTTTTATACCCTGATAGCCTTCAAGATCACGGCAGTACATTCCGCGATGAGCAATTAATGATATGTTATTGGCGTATCTGCCAAGATACGCAAAATCTACTTCAGCGTCACTTGATCCACAACCGAGGTGACTGCCAGCGTTCCGCCAAGTGCGATGTTTTTGACATTTCCATTGTAAACTCTTCCTCGCCCTCGACTTTGGGCAGAATTTCGCCTCTAGACTTCTACTTGGTCAATTGAAGCCTAACGCCATCATGTCTCTACCATGGCTGAGCCAACCGGTCATGCTGCACTCTAGCCGCGATGCTGGAGCTTGCTCTATGACACCAGAGCAATGTGCTTTCAAGACTAGTGACTGGGTGTTTTGGTACGAGGCTGATCATCGATACGGACTACCTACTGTTGCTTTCTTCGTAACGGCAATATTGCTCGCAGTTATTGCGAGCTTTGCCTCGACATACGCTCCAACATCGTGGAGAGGCAACACGTTATGGCTAAGGATATTGTCATCAGGCCGTCTCTTGTCCTACAAGAGCTGGCGGCTTGGTTTCTGGAACTCGCAGCCTCTAGGCACATACCTGGTTGGCGCTGCAGGTGCTGTGTTCTTCTTAGGTACTGCTATCTTCTCGTATGAGGCCCTATGAAATCAACGACTGATCCTCTCCCAGCCATGACACTTGGCCCACAGCCATACTACTGGCCTAACACGAAACAACTGAGCTTCGGAAACTCACCGCCGATTGCCACTCGTGCAGGCTACATGGCTTTGGCATGTATGCCATTTCTTTTGTGAGTACCTAATTCAAGAAGTCCCTTAAGATCTTGTTCTTTGCTTTTCTAACCCAGTGTGTATAGCATTTTAGGCGCGAAGGCGAACCCGATCTCAGCCCTGACCGGTATATCCCACGAGAAACTCAATATCTGGCATAACTGGGTGGCATGGGCTATGTTTGTACTAGCACTGGTCCATACGTTTCCCTTCATCGTTTTCCACATCTGGAAAGGCGACATCGTCAAGCAGTGGAATGATGGAGGCATATGGGTTACAGGCGTCATTGCTATCCTAGCTCAAGCATGGTTGACCTTCATGTCTATTCGTTGGGTCCGGTATGTCAACATGTTCTTCATTGTCCCCCAGAATTTGGACGTAGA